AGAAGACAGTGAGTAGGGCCTCCTCAGCAGAATACATGCTTCTGGGTATCACAGACAACTTTGCACGAGATGGTGAGCGCTAAATCCCACTGAAACGCTTTCTTCTTCAGTAGCCATTTGTCAGCTCCTATTGAGCTGAACTGGGATGACCGATGGACATGAGCAATACACATTAGGTTCATATAATCAACCTACCTAAACGATTAGAATCAACGCGTGAATTTATACGAAGTAATCGAGGAAATGCACTGAAATCCCGTTCTCCTGTCTCGCATTAACTGATTGGTGCACCGAACGACATTTGATGTTAACAACTGAAGCTGCTTCTTCTTTGTACCATTTGTTTTAACTCAAACAGCTTGCTGGTTGAGAATAACTACTGAGAATAACTACACAGCGTATTCATCTATGAAGTGGAATCAAATCCTTCACTAATCTCGTGTAAATATTATGCTCCTGATTTTTGCTATTGCGCCTACGGATCATATACCCATTCACATGTACACATGTACACCGGTGAGACGAAACAGTACAGATAATTTTATCCAATAACTCGATCAAAGGTCATTCGTCTGAGAGGGAAACGGACAGTGTCATGAGGGACTGATAGCGTGACCATGTATGTGGGGGGGGGACACTNTGGATTCCTCTAGTCTCATCCCGCCAATTTGTTTCTCGGATGTTTTCGCGGTTCATTTGACCTTTATGCCATTCATCCAAATCCAAGTCTACTCACATGATGAAGCCAAACACCTTTGTACACACCTTGAACGATGATTCACTCAGTTTTCTGTTGTAGTTTAATTTCACATCCGGACTACTTATGATTGTTAACGGAGAACCTCCAAAGGCACTTTCCGAGTTGAATGTATGACCACTGTCAACCAGCTATCCTAGAATTATCATTTATCGAATTTAACTCAGCGTGAAAGGCGAATAACTGTCAACGAATTACAAATAGATATTGACCGAATGAACACAAAATCGGATGTCACCGAATACGAAGGTTATATTGATGACTCATTGGGACCGATCGTGGTGAGGCACTACTCACACTTGTGAGTAGTTTGCAAGCACCAAGGAGAGATTACTGGATTCTCACGGAATTAGCGAGTGGATTAAAGGATTAATTTTTGGCAAATACAGAAGAGACAAACAGACCGTAAAGCTGATAATCACCGATAAAGTGAGAATCGCAAAAATGTTAACTAAATGTTGCAAACTATTTGTTCCGTTTTATGTAAACTTATTAATCACAAATCGATGCTGATTTTCGCTTGTCAAAATACTAGCGTAAATGAGACACAGCAAAAGACCACTGAAATAGCTGATCGTTTACTGGAAGAAATCAACGGGGATTAACAGTTATGCACCAGTAAGTATCATTGGCTAAACAGATCTTAACCAGTCGCCCATTAATGTTTTCTTAGTTGCACAGCTTCCGTTTGAAAAAAACTCGTGGTTTCTGATTGATGGATACAAGGGCCCGTAGTTTGTTGTCCTGAAACTATAATATGTAGCTCTTTGACTGGCGTTGTCTCGGGGTCTTGGACCACAGCAGCCACCTACTATATACATTGTTGGCTTTTGAGTATTGACGAAAACTGGGGTTGTATTGGTGACATTTCAAGCATTTTATCATCTGTACATAACAATGAATCAACTTTGGCTTAAAAGTGTTGCGTAAATGCGTTAGTATGTGTGTGTGTAAAAAAGACGGATATTATTGTTATCATGAAATAGTTACGTCATTCGTGAAGATCAATGAACCCTCAGTTTCAACAATGCCACCTATCTGGTCAGAGGAGCAGATGAATTCAATGAGTAAAAATGAGAGGTTCCTAGAAAGTTACAACGATCACAGCCAATTTCAGATAAGTGTATTCCACTTATCATTAAATGCAACAGTGAAACGATCACGAGCCCCTGTTGGATTCGAACCCACGCATTAACTCCGACTAAACCTCTGAAATGCATATGCAAACCAGGTGATCTACGGGGCCAAATCAGTACTATTAGATACAACTGGATAATATTAAAATTACTTCAATTCTACCGATCAAAGTTACTTGAGCAATCTTTCAATTGTTTTTAATTGAACGTATAACTGTACAGATGATCTGAAAGAAATAAGCTCTGGCCGATTGGAGTCAGGGAAGTTGGGTGGTGGTGGTGGTGGTGAGTTAAAAAAAAAGAAACGACCTGCCGCAGTCAGTCGGTGACTTATACGAATTCACCATAGTCGCTATTACTCGAAACAAGAAACTTGATGTTCTAAGGTGGTCAGTCCCTCCGTCCATATAGGTCATTTTTTTGCACTAAATCCCCGAACTTTGTGCCGTTCTGAATGATCCGTAGAAAACAGATTAGTTATTTTTTTTTTACTGTAAGATAGATAAACCGCAATACGCAATAATCAGGTTATCACTGTTCTCATATTTTAATTTTTTGTGAGAAGTTTGCCAGATTTGCCATTTTCTAACCCTGGCCGTCAGTTGCCATTAAAATAACTCACTCCGGCAGCCCATGTAGACGGGTCAGTTTTAAGCACCCTGTTTGCTTTGCTTGTGTCTGTGCGCACCGGTGTCTCGGATCAGGAAGATCTTTGGAACACATTTCTGACGCACCGTACATGTACCTAGATTTCGCAGAATAAGTAGCCTCACATATTCTGGTGGAAATACGTGAGGACCTGATACAACTCTTCTACAACAAGTCAGGTTGGAATTCTTGAGGTCACAAAGCTAGCCATCAAGCGAGTTGTGACCTCATACTGATTAATTGATCACAGATACCTCTTTGTGTGTTTCTTTATTGATTGAACAATGACATTTCAACTGGATTGGTATTGTCAGATTGTCGTTCCGGATATAGAAGAATGTTCAGATTTGAAACCGAATTGGTCGAAAACATCGGTTAAATTACTGTTCGCACTCCGGAATATAAATCAATGGATAAATAAATAAATAAATATAAGAAGGTATTTTAACGTAATGTTTTTGTAAGTTCACCTCTTTAGTTGTTGTAACAATCAAGCTATCGATGCCGATTTGAAGTAAGTATACAGGAGTTGACATGTCCATGAAACACGGAGTAAAGAAAGAGAGATTTGCTTATAGTTTTCACATGTCCACCCCAAAAATAATCTTTCAATGCGTGTCATCATTCAGTGCCTGATCGAGTAGTCGTTGTAACCAGAAAAACAGCGAATACTACTGTCTGTTTGATTGGGTGATTGACATGGAATGTTTGTTTAAAATGATGCGAATTCGAAGTCAGGATTGCTGACTTAATTCTACGGAATAGAGTATTAGATGATAAAACATCGCGTAGTGTATTTAGTTGCACTTCTATTAGATGACTTTTGAAATAATTATAGTTAAATGATATCTTTCTTTTAAATGAAAACAACAGTAAATTGTTTTAAATTCATCTGAAGTTGAAGTTGGTATTAGGGTAATTACAGTTAAGATGCCCGTCATGTGCCATCTGAACTAGACGAGTCAGTGAATTACAGAACGTCTAATGAAGTTGAAACATCAATAATCACAAGTGACAACATTTCGTTACGATTAAAATGAACATCGTAAGTATTGCGTTGTCAACGCTCGGACATCACTGAAATTCTTGATTATAACACATGTGGATCATGGCGAAAACGGGCTGACTTGGTTCAGTGGAATGATTCTATAAAGTTGACTTTTCGAATATATCTATTCGGAGAGAATGGCAGATAGTGAGAGAAATCATCGGACTGGATTCAACCTTTTTCGATGATACCGATTTGTAGCTTCTAAGTTGACTTGAGTTCTAGTGGCTGTGTTAGCAATGAGAGTGGCACCAGAAAGTTTTCTCTAATATCGACTGTCCAAGCTGATTTCCCCAGTTGAGTATAATACATTTGGTTGAAACTCCGTCGGGATTAGAAATCAGCGTATTCCACCGAGCCAGATAAACAACTTTTTCAATGGGATCGCACTGGTTTCCAAGCAAACCGTATAACCATTTGGATGACGGCTTGTACGTTGAGTTCTCTAAAGCAAATTTTGACGGCGTTTATGTTACTTTAACCCTATTCTTGCCCTCAGCATTACTATCGTCATCTTCATGTTAAAATCGAGATAAGTTGGATTCCGACGTGGTGAACATGTTGACGAGATGGCAGTAAAAATGTGTGGCTCGAACTTTTACACATATTTGGTTTAGAAAAAGAACCTCGCGTTTTCTTTTCAGGTAAATGTTTTTTTGCATCAATTTACTCCGTGCTTGATGTTACTCGTCATCTGGTGATAGAGCAGTTGTCATGTAACCAGGATGGAGTGAGGAGTACATAGCAGCTAGCAATATGTAGGATGAAAAAAAACTCAATTGATGCAACCAAACTCGACAAACATTCGACACGTTTCCCATCCTTGTCCCCACAAACAGGATTGTACTGTTAGCAACTGGAATGTGCAAGATTTGCGCGTAACATCACTTAGTAAATTAGAGATCGACTTGGTTTTTAATGCTTTAAATGTGAATAGATGAATCCGAAACAGGATAGGTGAAGATGATCCAAAGGCAACTGTCAAATGATCGTAAACGTGGATAGTGGCAACAGCAACAAAAACAACGATTATATTTGTTTCCTCTCATCTATATTATTTTATCGAACAATAACAGCCACTGTACAAACCAACCCCGGAAGAGACCTCTGACAAGAGGTAGAGCAGTACAAAGCGGATCGCGTTTCCCCGTCTGCCTTCATCTTAGGCCTTCTTAGGCCTTCGTGAAATAAAAACACCCACCCAGAACATGGCACCTTCAAACCTTAATATAGCGCCAAATTCATGCTCGAGTGATTGAGTGCCTCTGTGTATCCGCAATTAGTCACCCTGGTGTAAATCAAGACCTACTGACCCGTGGTTTCGGGGGAGTGAGAAGTCTTTTCAGTTGTAGACAACTCAGGTTGTTCGGGTCTTTTTCACTCACTGTTTACAATGTGAAACGGACAATACTGACAAGATTGAAGTGATGACCCCTCAGCAACTGCCGGTAGGAAAAGTCCTTCATGCACCCTAGGGGGCCTGAAGTTGCACATCACGTGTTCACAAACTGGTCTCTGTCTTTCTCTTCTTTCCACACAACCATATGCCCTATTTTGTGCGATGGAAGAAATCAACTATTATATTTTCCGCAACTGTACACGAGGACGGCGAGTCCAGTCCAGTCCTAGTGGTTAGTACAAACGGGAATTTACCGTCATACGCCGCTCATATGAATTGGTAGGCTACAAATCCGGATAAAATCTACAACTCTGAAAGTAACTGTAGTTCTTGGAGCAAGCAGTTTAATGTGGATTATTCAGAAATAACACATGAGATTTGTATCGGGATAGCTGACATCATTTCACGTGTATGCATGTGAGTGCAAAAGGAACCTTTCGGGATCCGATTAACAAGTACCATCGACCAGATATGTCGAAATTGACAATGAATGAGTTAGTGCATCCGTATGGCCACACACGCATACGAATTGTCTACCGTAAACAACTGTGGTCAGTTTTACAGGTTGGCAAACACTGCTGGCAGATGTTGAAGGAACAGGAACCGAATGCATTCATCTTTTGGTGCATACCTGCACATAGACTATAGAAAACATGACCCAAATCGGCGAAAGGAATAATGATCCACAATCATGTCAATGGGAAAACATCGGGAAGAAACGGGCGGGATTGGGGAAACAGAAAGGACTTCGGTGGTCGAAGCGAACCACACCATACCGTTGTATTCTACTTAACTCTTGAACCTGTACAAGCTCACAATGTAACAATAAAAAATACTTCTTAGCGCTTAAACAGTATTTATTCGACACACTAACCATGTTAGCCCCTCTCCAGCCAGTAACACTCAACAGTCATTTTATTCGTTTTCTTGCATGGTCGTCTGCTTGGTTGTTGCCGCACCGACTGACACCGATTGATACAACCGCCACGGTTAGCTTGGATTGCCACCAGTACCACCGTTTTCAGCCATCGCCTTGGTGACTGCTCATGCCGATCACATGATGCTAACTGCTTAACGCAGATTTGGGGCCCAAACGCAAGCCGTTTCGCTCTCCGTGTCGGCATTCGTTTCACGCAGTGCAATTGTGACGATATTCTAACCATAACGATATTCGTCCAATCAACGAGCTGTTTATAGTTGTCGATTCTATCCGTTTCGGGGCACAACATCGCAGTCCGATAAGCCCCGAACCCATTCATGCGGTTACAAAGGCCTAAATCGTACATCAGTCAACCGGTGTCGTCCTCATGTGCTCAGCCCTTGCGGCAGTTTGGTTTTACGTCCAATCGGCAATCCGTGTAGGATACCGAGTGGTCGACATCGTGTTGATCACTTTGTAGGTGTGTGCATGTGCACATGCTTATCTGCTCTAATGGAAATACTCAATTACAAAATTGACTGTTGCGATTTCAACCACCAGCACCAACGGAACCTGTGTGCTATCATGTAACGAGACCACTCGCTAAAGGGGGTTAACTGTTTTGACCGGACTTGCTCGCACATATGTGCACGAATCGGAGGTGTAATGTGTACTTATGTGTAAGGTTGTAATGATTGTAGAAGTAGTAGTAGTGAAGTTACGCACATAATCCAGGACACGAACTA